TTATTACCAAAATTATAGTACAATCTATGTTCTGTATTTTGCATGCATTAATAAATATATTCCCGGTATGTCTGTATTAGATGCTTCTACACATTTTTTCAAAATGCAACTTATCGGTTTATTTAATAAAAATGAAATCTATAATCAAAACAATTCAAATTGTAATAATTTTCATCAAATTCAATAATTGTTACATATAGTCTTCATTTAAACAAACCTTTCCAAGAAATTAAATTGGACAGCAAGTTAACAAGGGGTTTTCCATAATCAGGTTGTGTTACCAACTTCTTAACTTTATAAGAACCATTGAGCTAAAACATTTTTTTCTATTTTTTTGGCTACTGTGACCGACTTCTGATTTTTCAACCAAGGTGATCCATGTTCAAACTCGAGCAAAACCTGTCACACACATTCTTACGATGATGTGTGACAATTGGGACAAAAAGTGTGACCATTAGAGTGTTAACAAACTAAGTGATCAGCAGATTGTTAACAACTGTAATGTCAGCGTCGGATACACATGGTTGATTAACATTTATCATGACATAACTGATAAATGTAAATGGCTCGGCCGTGGTAATCCGACGATGCTAAATGTGGACAGACCAGAGTTGACATAAGATGGATGGCCGACATTCAACAATCTAAAACCGCACCCTGAGCCAACCTATAAGTTTCACCACTGACTTTTTCATACTGTACTTATTACAAAAAATAACTGACATTTTACAAAGGTAATAAATTTTATGTCATAGTTATTCATTTAAACGGTTGAAAAATGTATTTAGCAGCACTTTTTAAAAATATATCTAGTATTTTATTGCAAGTAAAATGTGTTGTTTGTTTATTGTTGTTGTTTTTTTCTATGTTTTTGACTCTAGGCAGTAATATAGCCGAAAATCAATTTCATACACTGTTTATTACAAAAATATTACTGATATTTTATATTGCTTACACATATAATGTTATAATCATTCATTTTTTTAGACGGTTGAAAAATTTATTCAATAGTTCTAATTTTAAAAATGTCCATTTCATTGCCAGTAAAATGTTTTATTGTTTTCTTGTTTTTTTTGGCTTTTCCATGTTTTTTGACGCTAGACCGTTACGTAGCCGAAAAACACTATTATACTGTATTAATAAAAATAATATCACTGACATTTTACATTGGTAACAAAAGAAAGTAATAGTTATTCATTTAAAATGTTGAAAAAAAATTAATAGCGGCTCTTGTTTTAACTACGACTATTTTAACGACCGTACAAATGTGTTTTTCGGCTTTTCCATGCTTTTTGACGCTAGACTGTTACTTTGCCGAAAAACACTTTCATATCGCATTTAATACAGAATAGAAACATTCTCTAATTTACACTGGTTGCAAAAAGAAAGTTAATTTTAATCATTTAAAGGATAGAAAAAAGTAGATAAAACTTATTTGTTGGAATTATACCAATAGTATATATAATCGATTTAAAACTGATATTATTGAACCCATTTTGTCAAATAACCATCAAAAACCCATTTCATCAAATAACCATCACAAATTGTTTATATTGCTGAGTATTTTAAGTGTTTTTCGGTATTTTTTTTGGTGTTTTCGGTGTTTTTTGGCAATTAATATAAGCAGATTAAAATAATTCCTATTTACTGAACATAAATTTATTGTATTTATTTCTAAATGCTTACACTGATTTACAGTTTGAAATGATTATTTCTTCTCGTCGAATCTGGCCACATATGCCTTTATTTAGCTCCATGCTCTGGCTTAATCGTCAATATCCCAAGTTCGACGAATTGTTACGGGTCGAACGGTCGAGCGACCGAATCTTTATTTTTACCCGTACTGAATCAGGCAATCTTTGCTGAATTTCGAAACATATTTCTTTTCAAAAATCTAAGGCATACAAAAGTGAAAGGAAAATCATGCGTAAAAAAGGTATTCAAAAGAATAGCTTACGAAATTTCTATTTTTCGAAGCCACGATAATTGCCAGGTTTTTTTTAAAAAAAAAAAACATTTTCCGGTAAACGCTGGTAAATTTTGTTACGGAGCTCCATACTCATTTTGTAAAACATTTTAGGGCAATTTTATTGCATAAATGTAAATCAGGAATTTTATTTGATTTAATATATATCTGAGATGTTTCGTCCCATTTGTACACCGATAAACACTTTCAGAACTAGCAGACGACATGCTATTCTTATCATTTGTATTTCGAGTAAAGGTAACGGGTTGTATAATTCGCATTTAAAATGGTCTGACATATGGTAGGTTTAACAGTTAATTTAAATACTTTGGAGTCAAAAGATGTATTGAAGTTATTACTGTGATGAAGCTAAGATCCAAAGCTTTCTATTGGTGTAATACATTTTAAAATCGGACATTTAATCACAACAAATTAGCGGTTTAAAAACGGCTTTTTTATTGTTTTAGCATAAGCGGTATCGATTTTACTCGAAGATAAGGGAAGCAACTCGTATTTTTCACTCGATATACCTCGGTTATTTACGTAGATGATATTGAAAGTGTTTATGGGTTACGACTTTACTATATTTACGATGTATTCATTCATGCTAGCAGCGCATGCGTATATGCGAAGTTTAACGCGTAGGTATAAACTATGCTTTTATAAATGAACTGTTATTTTTTTTTTCTTTAAAGGAATGTTGTGTCTATTATTTCATGAAAATGAACGATTTGGAACTTTCAAAGCATTTAAACAACCTGTAACGATTTCTGAGATATAGCTTATAACTCTGTATACATTGCAAGCAATTTATACAAAAAGGAAATACAATTTTCCAAAAGTTCCAAAATACGGTTGTTTTGTGTATTTTTCATACATACCATGTAATGTTGGAGTATTTAGGGTTCATTTTGCACACATGTGTACATGTTTTATGTAAAATTAGGCAAAAATGGTTTCCCCTTGTCAAACTTTACACAGAAGTGGTTGCTCAAATGGAAATGAATTGCACCGTGTGCGTGTAATAAGTTGAAAAAGTACATATGTGGGCTCCAGTCTCACTAGGTGTTAACGGTAAAACATTAAAGCATAAAGCAAAATTCAGTCATAAACTTACCGACAGCAGGAAACGGTAATATTTTATCCACCGCTTCTGCGACGAAATCTCCACCGCTGCTTCGATTGACCCACCGCGTCTGCGAAAGCTATGGTCAGTTCTTGGTTTACAATTTTATAAATCATTCTACTATTCTACCTTACGGTCTTATAGTGATTTTTGTAACAATTTAACAGCCCGGTTCGAAATTGGTTATGTGTTATATTTATTTTTTAAATAATGACATTTTTGTACTTAGTTGTAATATTCTTTTATTTTCTCGTCTGTATGATACATTTTCATGCAGCATAATTATATTAATATAAGACATATAATAGTTTATTGCATGTGCGATTCTCCAGCAATCAAGTTACAGAAGGAAAAACCGGAATTTTGCGTCATTACAAGAGCTCATTTATAATCATACAGTTTATAACACTACAGTATGATACCGACTTGTACAAAGTGTATATATAAGCAGTGGATCAGCCGCAATTAACAACATGGGAAACACGCAATGAACTACTTCGTAAATGAATAAAGAGCTGCCCCGTTTAAGGCAATGCGCTTGCGACGTCGTTAACGTCAAATTTCAAAGTTATACCGTCCGTCGGGTCGCATTGCATTAACGGTATAACATTTTCATTTGCTAATGTTTCTTGTTGGATATATTCCGATTTATGTTCCGTGTATTTTTATGTAAATGCATCTTACATGATATCATCACATAGGTTCATATCGTGGTTAAATTATTAGGCATATGTAAAGCCATTTTTATTTAAAATTTTTGTTTTTGTCCAAAATTACTTTACTTTCCCTTAATTATGCCCCTAAACCTTTACTTTCAAAAATTTTTCCCCAAATTTTTGGGAATACTTTTTAACAAATTTTTTTAGGGGGGGATTAAAGATATCACTTTTTTACGTGACTTTCCCACAAGGGACACGGGATTCATTTCAAACTACACTAAGGGATTTTAAAAGGGAGATGAAAAACCGCCTTTAAACATAAACCCCGGGGGTTTTTAAATTTTAAAGGGGGCGGGGCTTAAAGGAAATGCTTAGTTTTTCTATCCCAGAATTCAAATTATCGAATAAAAATAATTTTTAAAAGGGTAGATCCTTTTAAAATTTAAAAAAATTTTTTTAAATTTATACAATATATTTTTTTTCAAAATTAAAAATAGAAAAATTTTTTAAAAAGAAAATTTAAAATGGGGAAAAAAACAAAAATATTTTTATGATGAACAAATATTCAGCAGGACTGAATAAATATTGTAGTATAGAATATAAAATTAGAGTTATACACTATATATATATACATTTCACGTTATCAGATCTAGTTGACATCTACATACACACAGTGAAATGACTTCAATGATAAATGTTCACTGTGTGTATGTAGATGTCAACTAGATCTGATAACGTGAAATGTCCAATGAACATAAGATGATAAAGGAATATCAAATCACATACTTTTCTGGTGTATGAAAAAACAGTAGATATAAAACATAACAACAATGTGTAAATGCATGAACTAGTGAGTCCGATAACTGATTTCTGAATTTAAACTTTGGGGCCTTTGATTTATCTTAATACCTTAAAATCTTTTATCACTTATGTATATATTTTAGAATTTTATGTATTTATATATTATAAGTAAAATAAGTAAATAATAAAGGCAATGTCAAACCCGTATTCTTGTGCATTTATGGTAGCGTCCGGTCAACAATTGTGTCAGTCCTGGTTTGAATTTTGAAAACCGTTATAAATATGTTAGTAAAGTCTCCATTTCAGAGGTCAAAGTGACATTTGTATATCAAACGTAACTATTGTGGATAGATGGTCATATTAAATATCAAGGTCACACTTAGATTCTTAAGATTTATAGTTTCATAAAAATACATTGATTGTCATATTCAATAATAAATTTTGTCATTATTAAAAGCTTTTAAACAGCTAGAACGATAAAGAATACTACTTGAATGTCCAAATAGTACATTTGTTTATTGCCTTTGGTCATATCTTTTTCATTCATAAATGGATGTTTTTCTTGTAATAACTGGACTGACCACAATGAGAATAGAAGAAGGTATGTGTTAGTAACTCTCTTCTTATAGTACTTATGTGGTAACTCAAAGGTCATGGTTCCTGTACTGTGCCCGGCTTTTTATCATTTGTTTGTTTCCAATGATAACTTTTTTAAGGCAATGTGTACAGTTGTTGTTGCTGTGATTTGCATTTTACAAACTTATATAGATGGGATATAGATTCCTTACACAACTTTGTGTTGTTGTGTCTGGTCATATCTGTGTCATTCATTCATGGATGTTTTTCTTTTTAAATAATTGGCCACAGTGATAAATTGAAAGAGTGTCTGTTAGTGTTTCTACATTTTGATTTTGCAGATACTGAAATGCAGGCCGGGTATGAGTCATTGGCAGGACAGGACACTACTACGGAAATAGAAATGTATACAGATTTAGGTATGTAAATTATTTGTTCTTATGCTTAACAAACGGTGGTTTTTTCAGGGGAACATGACTTGGCATTTGTCTTTTGTTGCAATTGATTTTTGTTTTTAAAAGTGATTTATTCCAGACCTCTAGAGCCATGCGTTCTAATAACGCTAATTTGTTTGTGATAGGCAGATGATGATTTTCAACCGTCTGGTTTAGAAATACGTCGTATTCTAAGTTCGAAGTTTGGCTAAACAGGATGTACAAAAATAATTTTAAGTTGTCTAAAGACTCCACTGTTATATTTGTAAGTTATTAAAATAATTGGCCACACTGATAAATTGAGAAAGTGTTTGTTAGTGTTTCTAAATTTTGATTTTGCAGATACTGAAATGCAGGGCGGGTACGAGTCATTGGCAGGGCAGGGCACTACTACTGAAATAGAAATGTATACAAATTTAGGCATGTAAATTATTTGTTCTTATGCTAACCAAACGGTATTTTTATTTAGGGGAACCTGACTTGGTATTTTTCTTCTGTTGCTATTGACTTTTAATTTGTTTTTGAAAGTAATTTATTCAAGACCTCTACAGCTAAGCGTTCTAATTACTCTAATTTGGTTGTACTATACAGTTGATGACTTTCATCCGCCTGGTTTAGAGATAAACTTTGTCTCATAAAATATGATAAACAAGGTCAACAAGGAAAGGTGGCGTTCAATGAACGCAACCCTCACACGACTTAGCAACAAGAACCAGTGGCTAGGAGCCCAAGAGAACCCCAAATAAAAACATTTAGGGCACAAGGCAGAGCACGGACAGGCAAATAACTGAAAGTTCGGCGTTTGGCCGAAAATGTACAAAATGAACTAACATTATCTCAAGTTGTCTGAAGGCAACACTGTTAATAATAATTGTTCGTTTGTTTTAAAATTGCCCACACTGATAAATTGGGAAAGTGTTTGTAAGTGATTCTAAATTTTGATTGTGCAGATGATGATATGCAGGCAAGGTATGAGTCATTGGAAGGACAGGGTTCTACTACGGAAAAAGGAATGTATACAAATTTAGGTATGTAAATTATTTGTTCTTATGCTAACTAAACGGTATTTTTGTTCAGGGGACCTGACTTGGCATTTTCCTTGCAAAAAGTAATTTATTTCGGACCTCTAAAATGAAGCGTTCTAATTCCGCTAATTTGTTTGTGATAAACAGGTGATAATTATTATCCGTTTAGTTTAGCTATACTTCGTATTCCAAGTTCGACGTTTGACCAGAAACATACAGAATGAACATAAATAATCTCAAGGTGTCTAAAGAATTGTCCGTTTTTAATTAAAACAATTGGCCACATTGATAAATTGAGAAAGTGTTTTTCTATATTTTGATTTTGCAGATACTGAAATGCACCCCGGGTATGAGTCATTGGCAAGTCAGGGCTTTACTTCGGAAATAGAAATGTATACAAATTTAGGTATGTAAATGATTTGTTCGTATGCTAATTAAAAGGTATTTTTGTTCAGGGGAACATGACTTGGCATTTTACTTGCAAAAAGTAATTTATTCCAGACCTCTTAAATGAAGCGTTATAATTACGCTAATTTGTTTGTGATATACATTTGATGATTTCCACCCGTCTTGTAAAGATATACCTCGTATTCTCAGTTCGATGTAGGCCGGAAACGTACATAATGAACTAAAATAATCTCACCTTGTTTAAAGGCAACACTGTAGTAACTGAACGTTTTTATCATTATAAGACACGTAGCCAGGTAGTAAGTAAAAGAAAACAGAATAACAATTTACTGCACGAATACTTCATTCTACATGTCTGTACATGTAGTCATTGTATTTAAATAGACGCAATAAACTTATTATTACTTTGAAACATAAAGACAAATGTTTGTATCAAAATTAAATATTGTTGGATAATTTACGGTCATGATGACTCTTTATCACTAAGCAGTGTTCACAAGGAAATATGTTGACTTGTTTAGAGATCCAAGGATAACCTGTAAGAAAAAATGTTTTTATTAAATCCATTTCGTTTGGACATTTTGATTTTTACTATAGAGATACAGAGGGGAAAACGCGAAAGGATCTCTCGAGCTTAACGAGTCATAGTTATTTGTACAACCTTGCTAAATGGTTAAACAATAACAATTTCTGTGAACTGATTTAAAATGACAAATAGTCACCCCCGATACATATATTAAAATGTATTTCGCTTTTATTGCCATGACAGCCACAGCTCTGCCTGGATTCTGACTGGACTGTTTTTTTTGCGCAATGTTTTTTCTTCATGTCAATTTGTTCAAGACCCTTATACCGAAAATTTCTACTAGACAATAGTACTTGTAAGCTAAACGGAAATTGCCCTGAATAAAGTTTTACAATTACGAAGTGACATACAATATGAGTATAAGTGCTCTGAATAAAGGTTAACAATTAACTTACATTATAAAATATTTGTTGCAAAAAGGATAATGAAAATACATCTTTGGTAAGCGGCATACATCATCAAAAATCGATACTTGCGGCGGTATATATAATAAAAATTGTGTTGTTTATGACAACATAAGATGTATATTTGATTGCAAAAATAGAACAAAAACAAGAATAATATAACATAGAATGTCATGCATTCCTTCAATCATTTCATAATGATAATAGATTTCGTGATTTTATTTAATTCTACCATTATTATTATTATTATTTTTACTTTTCTTGAAGCTTCAACTATTTATTATGTTCCATTAAGAAACATGTTGTCTAAATGTCAGTAGGAAAGATAAAAAAGCGGCACAACCAGCTAAAATACTTGTTGCATGCTACTGCACTTTCATTTACAATTGTATTTTTACAGAAGGCCCAACGTCCACAGAATTACCTTCCGAGTATGAAAATTCAGAATTGTAAATTGGATTTATTTAGGTATTATTAATTTTTCTACTCATTTTTATATACTGTTTGTAATAATGTTTTATAGTTTGGCTTGTCATTACATGTACATATCTTCAAACTACAACTTTTTTAGTGAGATTTATTTAGTTTTGAAAAATTTATGTAACAATACGAGACAAAAGACTTGTGTAAAGAAATAACCGTGACATTTTGTTTTATGTTTCCCTTTTTCAGTCGACCGCAACAGATACAGAAGTGGAAGAAGTATAATGTTTTATAGAGATTTTACATCGGATTATTAGCAACAAAACGAAAATAAAAAAGATTTAGTGCTGTACCTGTGATGCAGTGCATGCGACAAAACAAAAGTTTTGAACAACTATATAGAAATAACGAGTGTTACCAAGTTTTTAACGTAAATGACTTCTTTAATATGTACTGCATCAAAACATTATTACAATCTTAAAATATCTAAATAATAGTAAGTTACATTTAAGCATCTTTTTTATCTTTATGGACTACTTTGTTACGGAAAAATACCAAAGAATTTTGACTGCTTGACGTCTTATTCTTTTAAGTTGTTTTAACGTTGTTTGTCTTTAATTTTTATTGTGTTTTGACAATATACTTGTATAGTAGTTGTTGCATATATGTTTTTATTTTATAATTTTTTTTTTCGTATTTAAAAAACATTTATAGCATGATGCATGCTTGTTATGTGTTGTTCGTGCAATCGAAATGTTTGAATATGTATTTCTTTTTAAAGTTTTTTTAAATGTAAGTTTTTCGTTTTTTTCATTTACTTTATTTTTTGGGAATTAAAGAAAATTTTACTTTGTTTAAACCCAAATTTGGGTTTAAAATTTGAATTGATCAAAATTATAAAACACTTATCTACAACATAACATACATTCGAACAAAAAGGGGGCCCGTCGGTTTAAAAAGCAGATTAAAAAAGGGTAATTCTGAATTTATTCTGGGTTTTTTAAAGGGAATTTTTTTTTTTCCCTTTTGTTGGAAATTAATTTATTTTCGGGGTTTGGTGCCCCCTTTTTCCCACCAAAAGACCCTTTTTGGCCCCCACCAAACCAAATTGACCCGTTTTTGGCCACCTTCCCCCTTTTTCAAATGATATAATTACTCAGTTAACCCAAACAGTGACATACTTTATGAATTGGATTGTTTAATTTCATGTACGATTGTTTAGTTTCATGTAATAAGTATTTGCCACATAATGTCAAGCGGTCTTCCTCATAATGTACGTCAGTATATGACACAATCATATGTTTATTATCTAACGATGAGTTAAGAGAGTGTTAACAATTAATAAGTGCGCAAAAGTATGTTTGTGAAGATATCTTATTTCCTTCGTTGTAAATAATGAAAGGTATTGTTGCTTTGCTTCTCATCTTCTTAAAATTTCATTTTTATTCTGTAATCTATAATGATATTTTGATTGAGATATAACTTGTTTGATAAAACAGTTTTTTTCTCCTGGAAATTATGTTGTATCACAATTGTACTTTTACAACATAAAATCATATGGTTTTTTTTTATTTTTTTTGTTTTACCAAATTTAAAAAAATTTTTTCCTGAACTTTAAAGGTTATAAATTTTGGAAAAAATTCCCAAAAATTTTTAAAAAACGTTAAATAGCTGTTATTTTAGTGGGTTTGTTTGTACAAAATGCTCAGTGTTTTTCATTCAATTGCACCAATTTTAAACCCTACGTGTGATTTTCTTACAATATATTGTTCTTCAGTGATATATATCTTTATGTAAAATTAAATGGAATGATAAAATACCTGCGATTATTGATCAAAACAAAATGCAATGTGCGTTTATTGCTAGTGTTTTGTAAATGGAATTTATGAAGAAATTTATGTTCATTGCAAATGACAGAAATAAAATGACAAAAAGGGACCATTTTTGCGACTTAACGGTCTTAAAAATTACTAGCGATATGAACGCCCTTGGCTCAATATAGGACATTTTTTAAACAAGAGTGATTTTGTTCATTTTGAATGACCACTGTTTGAAGTAATCGATAACAATGAAATGTGTTTTATGACATTTATTTCATCAATTTCAAGAATATGATAATATTGAGACATGATTTTAATAATGGACACATATTAAGTAATGAAATTCCTTTTTATAACCATGTCAATTCAATGCAGTAAGCAATTATCTCAAGACTGGATTATATTTAAAAAAGAAAAGCTCTATGTTGTGATTCTAGTAGAGGTTATATAGATTCTGAAGTATTTGGCCGAAATGTGTTTCTTAAAATAGGCTTAAACAGTTAAATATTAATAATGCGGATATTTTCGAAATTATAGGTATCAATTTTTAGTGCGTTTTTGTAGAATAATGCATGATGAAGCGATCAGGAATGATCAATCATGTTAACTTTATACATGTTTTATTTAGAGAAAAGTTACAAGTTACACAGCAAATAAACGACAAACCTTGCATTATGTTTTATACATTGCAAGAAGTATTGCTCATAGCTAACCAGAAGATATGTAAGATCATTGACAACCACCCATCTGACCGGACAAGAAACATATTTGACAGCAACAAGTTATAATCTGATCAGACGCGTGAGATAATTAATAACAATAATTAAGTCCCTACCTCATAAAACAAGATATGAAAGATAATCAATAATAACCAGTCCTACCTAATCAGACATAAGGGATATTCCATAGCAATCAGTTCCCATTATATCAAATATATAGCAATACCGATAACTGTTAGATCCTAACTGATCAGATATGCAAGATATTCGACAGCTACTAGTTCTGGCATCCAGGTCTCATCTGATAACATATCTTATAATTATTACTTATAACGACCATTTTCCATCTTATCAAACGTTTAAGATGCCTAATAAAAGCCTCTCTTATCTGAATAGCCTTTTGAAATTACACATCAGACCAGCTTCCATCTTGTCAAGCGTGTAACATATCTAATAGCATCCAGCTTTTACCTATCAAACGTGTAAGTCATTCGATAACAGCTAGCTGGTATATATACAGACATATGAGAAAAACAGCCAATGTCAAAAGATTAGACGTGTATAATAACATGTAACAACCAGCTTCAATCTGATCAGAGGTGTCTGATATTCGATAACAGCCAATTCCCAACTGATCAGCCAGCCATTTGAGGTAACTGATAATAGCCAGCTTCCATCAGATCAGACTTTTGAGTTACCCCGTAAGAGCCAGCTCCAATCAGATCTTTAAATGAGATTACCGATAACAGTCAGCTCTCATTTGACCAGATATAACCGAAAGCAGGCAGCTTCAACCTTATCAGACGTGTAAGATATTTGATAAAAGGCAGCTCTTATCTGATCAGACGTGTGAGATAACAGGTTAAGGCGAGCTCAAATCTGATAAGAAATTTAAGATAACAACTAGGTTCCCTTCACAAGTACATGTCACTAAAAAAAATAACTATCACCTCGAGTCTGATTTGACATTATTTAAACAGTTTGTAAAACTGATAGATTATTATAACTATATGATTATCTCAGCTAGACTGAATTCTCCCGTATTAAACCCTTTAAAATTATATATACATTTATGTGTACATGATTTATCTGGCTCAGATTACAAAGCGTGTACGTCAATTAAAATTCAAGAAAGTTATTTGCATAATTATAAAAACGTATACGCCCACTAAAGTCTTATGCATATGACCGTTTGTCTGTCATGTATGATTCATGTTTAACCAGCTCGATACTTGCTACATGTTACAAGTGTTAGAGTGTTTGCGAGTAGGAACAAGGAAAATCGCACGCCACTTTTGAATTATTGTTGTATTTTCCGTTGTAAACTTCTCGAGCCAAAGATGTTTCCCAATGTATTTAAAAATACAAACAGGAAAACTGAAATAAAAAAACAAGTTTGTTTGACGGTCAACTAAAGCACGTCCTCGTTCATTAGATCTATAAATGTTTCATTCACGAATTTGTTGTTTTCAATAAATTTGACAAGAGGTTTAACAAACCATAATGAAATATCATCTGCCAGGATTTTCATTTGTTATATTGTATTACTTGGGAATAAGGATTAAACCTGTATGTAAGTAATTTATTATATATATAAAAAAAGCTGATTGAAACTATGTACATGTATATATCAAAACCGGTCAATCTCACTATGCACAACAATATTGCACATTTACCAATTGTTTAGGATATGCATTATTTGTTTCGGGCAATTTAGTAATGCAAATTCAAATGTAGAATGATAAATAAGTTAACATAATAAAGTTTTCATATATTTTTTTTTCTCTAAAAATCATATTTTGATTGATTCTTCACTTCACCATGTATGTTTTATTGTTAGATTACAAAGACATTTTTTTTGTAAAATGTTAGCTAAACGATATTTTCATATCATTTAAATGGCCATAAAAACTTCTTCGGACAAAAATTATTTTTTTTAAAAGACCACCATTTATGCTTAAAAAGGATTATAAAATGTATTTTTTTTAATAAAACCTAAATTATGACAAGACACCCTGCTTAACGGACAGATCTATTTCCGTTCTTTTAAGATGCTCTCTTGATAAAGAAATATCGTGTAAAGTTTTACTTTCTTTTAAGACATTAGTTTTTGGTAACCCTGATATTTGCACCCTCAGTATAATGCATGACATTGTTGGTCTAAATGTATCTTCTTGCGTTTCAAAATAATGTGTGAGACTAAATTATAAAGGTTTAGCTCACAGGATGGATTACTACTATACTCATTCATTTATGAGACAAAAACAAAGCACGACAATACATAGGCAGACGAAAAGACAATAAAAAGCTAAGCTTATCAAACAAATTACGAATGTTATCTTAAAAAGGAACTAATGGATTTTATCTATAAGAATAAATAAAAAATTTGGTTTTACGCCTTTGAGACTAATAATCTTATGACTTAGCCGCATGGTCCAAACCCCGTCATAGGGCAAGTCTTTGTATACTTGAGCAAGAAAAACTTTACACTCAATGCTCTAGTACTGGTTTGTTCCGGGAAATTAATTTCAAAAAATTTTTCCTTAGCTTATAAGGGCTGAATTTGTACTTTGATTTTCTTCTGAGAAAAAGTCACAAAAACTTACATTTTCTTCATAAAAAAAATCATTTTAACTTATCAGTTACGTTTTGTAAACGTCACATATAACTTAAAAATTGTTTTTTCCTTAAAATTTAAAGGGCTATTCTTCAAATTTTGGGGCAACGTCATCACCCGTTTGCTTTTTCTCAAGTCTGATTTTATCTTATTGGACATAAGGGTTAAAGTGATATTCATTAACATCGAACCTCACAGTCATCTTGAGTTGCATTTCCCCTGCATA